TGAGGAGCTTGACGAATCAGTCTATAGAGATGGCATTAATAGACTGGAACACCGCTATGAGAAATGTATCAGCCTTGGAGGAGATTATGTTGAGAAATAAAAAAAAAAAATTTTTAAAAACCTTGTTTTTCTTGGTCAGGCCGGAAACTTATCAATCCACCCTCGTATAGCAGAATGCATGCTGAACTGGAGTCATCTGTCAAACGGTTTCTAACCGAGTTTTTAATGTTATTCATCGCTGAAAATAATGACTCGAAGGCATAGGTTGATGAAAACGTTAAAATAGCATAATCCAGCTTCTTCAAACAATTAAAAGTGTTTGGTAACGCATTCCGTGTGTCCAAAATTTTGTTATTAGCATTTTCACTTGTATTACTTATCAATATTTCTGTTTCAATCGATGATGTCGGATTTCCTCCCGCAGCTAGTTTTGGTTAAAATATAGATGTCGAATTCCCTCCCGGATACTAGCCGAGTTCCCTCCCGTTCATATCAACTCTGACAATTAAGTTAACGACTACTTACCGATTTTATTTATCGAAAATAAATATATATTCATAGTGCACTTCAGTACTTCAGTAAATTAAAGATAAAATAATTTCAGAAAGAAAACACATATCAGTTATGAAATGTTTATTTATTTAATTTTAAAATGGTTTCCCACTACCTTAACAAATTCAATGTTTGGAAATTCGTGTGCGTCTAGCTTTTTGATGCAATCATCCAGAAAAACTTTATTAGTTTTAGTTTGTCTTGTATTTGACCAATAGAAGGGTAGTCCGATAAAATTATTATTGTTATTGTGGTGTCTATAATATATGAATAATATTAAGATTAATATGTGATGTGAGGCTGTATTATTTAAACAACTCTTTATGACTTTCTAGTGGTAATTAGCACTCAAGGTCATCCGCCGCCGTTGGGAGGCAATTGATGTATAATTAGGAGGGAATTCGACATACCGAAAATTTTAACCCTAATTAAAAACAGGTATATGGGAGGGAACTAGGCATTATCCGTTTCAATTATTTCTAACTCTCCCTGTTTCAACAAATTTTTGAATCCGTATTGAACTAAACTGGAAATCAATCAGCTGCATTTCAAATTCAATTTCTGACTAATCGAATTGGGACAAATTCAGTTTATCAAATGACGTCACATCAAGGTACATAATAAACTTGAATATTTCCGATAATTCTCTGAACTGAGAAAATTTCGCAGAAAATTCCTCGATTAAAGAATCAATCACAGAAACAAATTCTTCAGTAACTTCGTCTGCGCCTGGTTTCTCATGTATTTCTAAATTGTTGTTATATTTTTTCAAATTTAGAAAATATTAGTGACGTGCCCAAAATGTTGTGTCGCGTGCCATTAGTTCACCATCCCTGGTATAGAATATCGATTCCCAATTACACTCCTGTCTTTTTTAAACTGACAATAAACGTAAACGTACCTGAAATATATCTATTGTACTTTTCCAACGAGCTTCGACATTTGCAGAATGCACGACCACAACAACGTTGTCTTCCATATGTGGATAGATCATATCGAAATCGACATTGTCTGGCGAATTCGCGTGATAGCCACCCACAGCCAGGTCGAATTTTCGCTCTTGCACCGCACCCATACCCAAAGTGTACGAGCCGTTGATCGTCTTGCGGCCCCACGCGTTAGATACGTTGTTTGGATATTTGAACTTTATTCCAAGACATCGTCCAACGTTATCTAACAAGAGAAACTCTAACCCCCTCATTGAGGGACACGTTGGACACATCATGTAAGGAGGTGCATAGACTGGCATCACGTTAATGGTGGCGTTTTTCCATTTCCGAGGTATTTTATCTGGAAATAAATCAACCGTGTCGTTCAAATATTCGTCGCCGAATATTGCAATTGTGGTCGATTTGATCGATTTTGGACGCAGTTGTCCGTTCTTGTAAGGAAAATATGTTAATACTTTAAGCGTTGAGATATTAACTGGAGTTAAAATGACAACATTGGTTATATATTTGGCGAACAATTGCTTTAAAAGGTGGCTAACACTTCCACCTTCGAACATGATGAAAAATTTAGCCCTGGGGTTCCAACCAGGCATTTCTTCCAATAAATCTAGCACATTCTCTGTTTCTGTTGAAATATCCAAAATGTAAGAGTCAATTTTTATGTTTTGGTACCATTGCAGCTGTTTACTTTTACTGTTTATCATAATCAAAGGTATTTCTTTGGGAATGTAATCCGTTAATCTGTGATGACAATCCATACAGAAGGTTATATCTTGCGGATTAAGGTGCTTTTCGTATATAATTTTCATGTATTTACTATAGACATCGAATTCGCCAGATTTTAAGGCCATTTTAGCATCGTTCTCGGCAAACAACAATACAAAATGCAATAGAATCGCTAATCGAAACATATTTAACGTATTTCTAGCCCAACCCTACACAAAATAGGTCCTCTTTATGTTACGGTCTTCTTTTATACCCTCCATCAGACTTGTCAAACTGTAATGTAATGTTGTATTAATGGTTTTGTGTATTTAATGTCAATTATTTTGCACGCGACCCGAGTTTGTGATGGAATAACAGTTATTTATTATAGACTAATTTATTTCGTTGACACCTTATAATATATAAGTCATTAAGCATTTATGTGTAGGTAATCAGTGAACAAATAGATATATAAATGCATTAAAATTGGTAAATAACACAAATGAAAAGTGAAAGAAGAGAAATCACCCTAATACAAATTTGTGCTTCGATATGGGCCACATGAAATTGCAGAAATTAATATATTTCAATACTGTTCGTTTCAAGAAGTTAGAGATATGTCCCTTCCCTTTATTAGGATGCGCCGTACCATAATTCCAAATTCAATCATGTTTGTCTGCGGAGCTCATTTTTCCACCGATCATCGAGCAAGAACTAGACGAAAGTGTACAGTACCATTTGCAAAATTCTTTATACTGCCTCGTTAAAATTTAATAATATGCTTTATTTAAAAGCATATTTAGCCAAAAATAATAACAAGTGAATTAACTTAACGTTCTACACACCTATAAAACTTTGGCTTTGTTTTCTATTGTTAATTTATATACATTTTTGTTTTAAGAAATTGCTAAACATTTTCGTCTAGTACTGTACAGTTCTAGCCGATCTCCTAAGACCGCCCATCGAGAGCTCTGCTCGTTCAAGCTTGTTCCAGCTATTTCTGTCTTGCTCACGCCTATTGTGTATTCTTTCTATCTTCGCGCAGATTTCTACAAGGTCACAATTGTAACAAATTGAAATAGACTGTTAGCTAGTTTTTGTGTAAGGGGGGCGGACCAATACTGATTTCGCTAATTGGCTTTGACCGATTATCATTATTTAAAAGCCAATTCCTATCATGCTTACAAGAATTCAATTTATTTCTGCAGTAACCCCATGTCAAAGGACAAATTTAGACTAAATTTAATCTTTTTAATTTCCCAAATTTGTGCCACAACATCTCAAGAAGTAGAATTGAACTTGAAAAGGCAAATCCTCCGAGTAGCAGCCAGTATATGTATTTTAAATCAGCCAAATTTAGCGCTTCAACTTTCCATTTGATTCCTTTCCTATAAGACAATAATTGGACCATGTGCCTATCGTAACGGTACAACTTTTCTATATACCCCATGGCTTTGAAATCATGTAGAAGCCTTTGTATACCGTCGAATGGCGGAAATCCCTTTGTAAAGTATACCGTCAATGGACAGAACATCAATTTTTTTGTTAGAATATGAACAGTTGGAGAACCATCTTCAGAATCCAGGTAAAAACGAGCGGTACTGTATTTAATGAACCTTTCCAGAACAATCACGCCGTTATTACAATCACTAATTATCGATTTATTTAGAACTTCTATCGGAGAATTGCTTTCGTAATGATTGCGTGATACAAAACGATCGATTTGAGTTACATCATTACTGAATAATTTTAAGTCTCTCCTGTTGATCGCAACCCTCATCCCTATCTCTTCGATTTCTTTAAAGGAATTTATTTGTTTTTCTCTATGCGCAACGTTGAGTGCTCCTTGTAAATGACTCTCAAAATATGCGTCCATAATAAAGGAGTACACCAACCAGAATACCAGTAACAACCGTTGCGAATTTGATTTTGGCATTTTTGATATGGTAAGTTTCAACAGGCAAGCCAAACAAATCAGAAACGAAACCGATAGTTCATATTCTCTTTTGTTTATTGATCTAATGTAAAAAACAACAGCCATCAAGACAACACTGATCAACAACGATATCCACACCGGTTTCTGGAACAAAAATAAATTAAATCCCATTATAATGCTCCAAGGGTAGAAAAACTAGATTTTAGATCGAGGAAGCATGATTTTCCTTTAACTGCTCCTTTTGGAGCTTGTTGTGAAACCCGAAGACGTTAGTGGTTTTAGATGAGATGTAGTGTGCCTTATCAGTTTCAATAAGTGATGTTTCACTAAATTTAAAGCGTCTAGAATGAAACTAAATAAAATATATGTGGTGTTTGTAATATATATTGTATTGTATGTATATGTATTTATTTTTTTCACTTTAGTTCTATCATAATGGCAGACGGCATAAAGTTAATGAAAATCGGTTATTCTTAAGCGATTTGAAACCCAAGAACTCTTATTTATTCGTGATTCATAGTAATAAAAACATATGTTTTGAGCTCCTGAAAGGACAAAACAGTGCCTACCGTTTTCCTCCTGTCTACTTTTAATTTTAAAAACAAAACTTGAATACGTTAGTGATTTTTTTGAAATAAACTTTCCCAATACAGGGAACCTCAAATTAATGAGGAAATGGGTGGTAAAATAAAGGTGCGTAAAACTCGGGTCCGGGTTCGATTCCCGACGAGTGAGTGACAGCAACAACAATTTTTTTTCTCATTAATTTGAGGTTATCTGTAGTGGATATATTTAATTCAAAACAATTACTTCACTAATGCATTGAATTTAATCTTCACAAAATTCAAAGTGCTTCAAAATTTCAAATTGTTTCAATCTTAATTTGAAGATGAAAATCCATAATATTGTCGAAGTATGAGAATATAGATATTAACTTACTAACTAAAGCGATATTAGTTACTAGTAAAAGTTAATAAAAAGAATATAATCCTTTAAGTTGCATTATTTCGTTGAAAAACAAAACGAATTTAGTACTGACCTCAAAAATGTCTATGAGACAATTCCATCTATTTTTTATTGGAGCAGTGCGAACCACCATAACCAAATAATCTTCCATTACGGGATAGGCCATATCAAAATCGGCATATTCTGGAAAGCCAACGTGAAAGGCGCCAACACTAATGCCAAACTTGTGTTCTTGTAAAGCCCCGAACGCGAAACTGTATTTACCATCGTTTCCCCTTTCCCCCCAATAACTTAATATATGGTCGGATGAAAAATTAAATTTGATTCCCATCCTTGTACCAACTGCATGTAAGTTTAGGACATCTAATCCGACCAATCCAATGTCGGAGATTATCATTATGTAAGGGGGTGAATAAACTGGCAAAACGTTTATGGTGATATCATTCCAACGTTGCGGATATTTATTTGGAAAAAGATCTTTTTTTAAATCGATTTCTCTGTTTGTTTCGTTAATTGTTCCAATGGTTATTGCCTTAAGGACTCTTGGGCGAAGTTCTCCATTTCTGAATGGATCGTAAGTTCGAATTGTGAGACTTATACTGTCAGGGCTCGAAAAAATGACAACGTTTACTATATAATGTGAGAACAGTATTTTTAAAAGGTAATTAATTGTGTTCTTGCTGTATATAATAAAAAACTTAGCTCTGGGGTTCCAGCCGGGAGTTTTCTCCATAAATTCCAATCGTTCCTTTGTCTCTCTTGTTAAATTCAAAATATAGGTGTCAACTTTATGATATGCAGGCCAGTTAATTGTTTTATCATTTTGACTAATTGTTACCAAAGATACGGTTCGTGGTATTAAATGAATCAATTTGTCGCAGTCTACGCAAAAATTCACTTGATCTGGTTCAAGATACTTCTCAAACACCCTAAATAAATGTTTTTGATACGGCTCTGGCGTAGGATGGTTAAAAAATGTTGCTCCATTAATTTTTAGACAGTTTTGTGATACAAAAATAACAGCAACGATTAATTTGAACATTTTTTTTTTCTAAGGGGGATTCTACAATCGTTTGAACATTTTTATAGGTTGCTGGGTACGGCTGTATTTTTTTAATGGGTTTGTTCAGTTTGCATTATCCCTTTGCATGCAATAAACTCGAAAAAGTTATAATAACTGATATGGGGGATATTCATTTGCATAAACTCATTGCTTGCAAATTGCGACTTTGAACGGTTTTATCACAAAGTTCAAAGCTGTTAGCGACAAAGTTATAACTACCCCTTGATATTGTTTAATGTCTGAATTTTATTTTTTAAAGACGTATATTTAAAAAGGCAGCAAGGGTTGTCATATTTTTTTTGTTTTTTCATGCTTCGAAATACAGTAAGTATTTAAAAATAAATATATTACATAGCACACTTCTAAACTGTTTAGGCACAAAATCGTAAAATTATAAATATCTGGATATTATATCGAAATCACACCACAGAATACATTAAAGGAATTTTTACAACTTCTTTCTCAAAATGAACATCTACCTATTTAGATTTATATGTAGATCCATGTAATTTAGAACTTTTCCAATTAAATTATTCATATGTTAATCTACATAATATTGTAGACGCGATAAAGACACGGCTGCTTTATATACAGTGACAAAAGATTTATATCCTTAGATATGCAGATTTATATTGTTAAGACTGTATGAAACAAAAGGTTAGAAGCGTTTGAAATGTGGTGTTATAGGCGAATACTGAGGATACCGTGGATAGAGAAGATTAGAAATGAAGAGGTAATTAGAAAGAATAGGAGAACAGAGGACTCTATGGAAGTCAATAAAAAATAGGCGAGATAGGTTGGTAGGACACCTTCTCGGGTATGAAGGTCTGGTCCGATATATATTAGAAGCAGAAACGGGAGTTAGGAGGGGTAGAGAAAGACCTAGATTAGATTACTGTTCGCAAATAGTGAAAGATGTGGATTGTTCCAGCTTTAGGGAAATGCGAAGATTAGCTCAGGATAAGAAAGAATGAAGTTGCATGCCTAACTAGTCTTAGAATTAGCGACCCTATGGCGAACATGATGATTGTAGTGAAGTAGTATTAGAAACGAAGAATATATTTTAAATTCTATACCCGTTGGTGATGAATTTGTGCCATAATATCTCAAAAAGTAGTATAACGGATGAAAAAGCCAATCCGCCAAGTAGCATCCAAAATATGTACTTCAGTGCACCCAAGTTTAGCGGTTCAATTTTCCACGTCGTGGCATATTTATGATAAAATATTTGATCGAGATGTTCACCATACAAGTATACACTATTTATACAGCCTATGGCCCTGTAGTATTCAAAGAGCGTTTGTATACGATCGTATAATGGAGAGCCCTTTGTGAAGTATACTGTCAATGGATAGAACATTATTTTTTCGGTTACAATGTGAACAGTCGGAGAACCATCTTTAGAATCCACATAATTATGAGCAATATTAAATTTTATGAATCTTTCCAGCGCAATTGTGACAGTTTTTTTATATTTAAGTGACTCGTTTAGAGCCTGTGATATAGAATTTGTTTCGTAATGATTGCGAGCAATAAAACGATCAATTTCAGTTTCCTCGTTAGCAAACAATTGTAAATATTTCTTTTTCATTGCAACCTTCATTCCCAACTGTTTAATTTCGTCAAATGAATCTATCTGTTTTTCTCTGTGTACGTAATTAAAAGCACCTTGCAGGTGACTTTCAAAATAAACGTGAATCAAGAAGCAAAACACGATCCAAAACATTAACAAGAACCGTTGAGATTTTGACTTGGGCATTTTTGGAAGGCACACTTTTAAAAAACAACCCAAACAAATCAAAAAGGAGGTTGAAGGTTCATAATTTGTTTTGGTTATTGATACCAAAAAGAATACAATTGTCATTGAGAAGACACTGATCAGCAATGAAATCCACACCGGTTCCTGGAAGAAAAATAAATTAATACGAATCTGCTTTCCGAATAACCGGCCACCCAGTGTTAGCTGTGCCAGGCACCCGGTAGGACTGAAATTTTTGAAATGAAAGTTCTTTACGCACGATAGGGTAAGTTCGTTTCATGCGAGTTGCTATGTAACAAAATCATGCAACGGATGTCCCCCCTCTACGCGGCCACGTAGTCGAGTTCGTAGTGGGGATCGCTTGATTCGTGAGCGCGCTTCAATACAACGTTCGTTACAGGCAACTCCGGCATGTACAGTGTAAAATTTAAATTCATAGTGTACAAATAATACCATTAAACCAATTCCTTAACCCCTATCTATCCCGGTATGTTTGTGTGTTTGAAGAAGTTTCACTTCAGTAGCGTGTTGTATAATTACACGTTGTATTTTTTTGTAACGGATGAAAAAGCCAATCCGCCAAGTAGCATCCAAAATATGTACTTCAGTGCACCCAAGTTTAGCGGTTCAATTTTCCACGTCGTGGCATATTTATGATAAAATATTTGATCGAGATGTTCACCATACAAGTATACACTATTTATACAGCCTATGNAATACAAAAGAAAAAAGTTTTGAAATTGTTGTCGGGCCTTGACTAAATCACTCTTTACAACTACTTCAAGCTGTGGGATGATGGGATTTCAGGGAAATGCGAAGATTAGCTCAGGATAAGAAAGAATGAAGTTGCATGCCTAACTAGTCTTAGAATTAGCGACCCTATGGCGAACATGATGATTGTAGTGAAGTAGTATTAGAAACGAAGAATATATTTTAAATTCTATACCCGTTGGTGATGAATTTGTGCCATAATATCTCAAAAAGTAGTATAACGGATGAAAAAGCCAATCCGCCAAGTAGCATCCAAAATATGTACTTCAGTGCACCCAAGTTTAGCGGTTCAATCTTCCACGTCGTGCTATATTTATGATAAAATATTTGATCGAGATGTTCACCATACAAGTATACACTATTTATACAGCCTATGGCCCTGTAGTATTCAAAGAGCGTTTGTATACGATCGTATAATGGAGAGCCCTTTGTGAAGTATACTGTCAATGGATAGAACATTATTTTTTCGNTAACGGATGAAAAAGCCAATCCGCCAAGTAGCATCCAAAATATGTACTTCAGTGCACCCAAGTTTAGCGGTTCAATTTTCCACGTCGTGGCATATTTATGATAAAATATTTGATCGAGATGTTCACCATACAAGTATACTCTATTTATACAGCCTATGGCCCTGTAGTATTCAAAGAGCGTTTGTATACGATCGTATAATGGAGAGCCCTTTGTGAAGTATACTGTCAATGGATAGAACATTATTTTTTCGGTTACAATGTGAACAGTCGGAGAACCATCTTTAGAATCCACATAATTATGAGCAATATTAAATTTTATGAATCTTTCCAGTGCAATTGTGACAGTCTTTTTATATTTAAGGGACTCATTTAGAGCCTGTAATGTAGAACTTGTTTCGTAATGATTGCGAGCAATAAAACGATCAATTTCAGTTTCCTCGTTAGCAAACAATTGTAAATATTTCTTTTTCATTGCAACCTTCATTCCCAACTGTTTAATTTCGTCAAATGAATCTATCTGTTTTTCTCTGTGTACGTAATTAAAAGCACCTTGCAGGTGACTTTCAAAATAAACGTGAATCAAGAAGCAAAACACGATCCAAAACATTAACAAGAACCGTTGAGATTTTGACTTGGGCATTTTTGGAAGGCACACTTTTAAAAAACAACCCAAACAAATCAAAAAGGAGGTTGAAGGTTCATAATTTGTTTTGGTTATTGATACCAAAAAGAATACAATTGTCATTGAGAAGACACTGATCAGCAATGAAATCCACACCGGTTCCTGGAAGAAAAATAAATTAATACGAATCTGCTTTCCGAATAACCGGCCACCCAGTGTTAGCTGTGCCAGGCACCCGGTAGGACTGAAATTTTTGAAATGAAAGTTCTTTACGCACGATAGGGTAAGTTCGTTTCATGCGAGTTGCTATGTAACAAAATCATGCAACGGATGTCCCCCCTCTACGCGGCCACGTAGTCGAGTTCGTAGTGGGGATCGCTTGATTCGTGAGCGCGCTTCAATACAACGTTCGTTACAGGCAACTCCGGCATGTACAGTGTAAAATTTAAATTCATAGTGTACAAATAATACCATTAAACCAATTCCTTAACCCCTATCTATCCCGGTATGTTTGTGTGTTTGAAGAAGTTTCACTTCAGTAGCGTGTTGTATAATTACACGTTGTATTTTTTTAGGCTATTCAACAAATGTTAATTACAAATTTTGGTCAAAGTAGTTTGAAAAAGTGTAGACAGAAACCTATAACGTATGTATTCCGTAATGGCCTATCCGCTCACACTTCTAATAGCAGTTTTAGGATTCTGTCGGTTAATATTATACTTCATTTACTTTCTCTAGCGATGTGCCCCCTCATTATATTCTCGACTCTTGTTCATTAAACATATTTTTTCATACAGTACCTGCCAAAAGTTTTGTTCAATCATGAATAGTAATGCGAGTCGAAAACAAGCATTTAAACCTTTGATATGTCTTCAAACATAAATAAACATCTCGTTGATATTTTCAGTAGTAAATGGTACCAATAACAGCACATTTGAGCAATGCAGTTGTAGTGGATAAAATAGTGAATTTTTCCGTGCAGTACTGTACGGATTGTACGCTCCTCACCGGTTAAGAGTTTGGCCGAGAGTTGTCTCCATCCTTTTCTGGCCTAGTACTGTTCTTTTCTACTTTGCGCCGATCAAACTGAAAGTCACATCGCTACAGAAAGTAAACGAAGTAAAAGACCCATTGAAAAAAGTAAATCACTTTGATGTTTTATGACAGTATCCGAACGACAATTTAGGTAGACAAATATGGCGAAATATGTCTACAGCTGTGGCTAACATCTTTAGCGTTAATGATGGACCATATTTGACTTTTGATCAAATTTCTGAGAAATCATAAGAAAGGACATTCGGCCTATTACGCTGATCATTGTGTGATCGAATTATATAAAAAGATAAGAAGTGATTATTGCTGTTTTAGATTCTTCTCGTAATGATAAATTTCACGAAATACAAAAGAAAAAAGTTTTGAAATTGTTGTCGGCCTTTAACCAAACGAGCCCCAAATTCCGCGTCAATGAGAAGTTAAGAAACATTTTAATCTAAAGGGCGAGATGCACCTGATATATATGAATTCACGACCCCAGAAAAAGAGTTGTGGATTTTTTTAAAAAAATACGAATGGAGCAAAAGGGGCCTATACCAGAAATCGTTCGATTTATTATTCGTTTGCTGGCCACCCGTCGCTTTCTAACCCCGCTTACCCATTGGTATCTTGAATGTAATATATTTCCAATAGCAATTTAGGAAATGTATATATTTCCTGGGAAATGTGTCTAATAATTTATTTCACATATTTCCGGGCGATTTTAGGAATTACATACATTTCCTAGGAATTGGATACAATGACGTATTTCAGACATTTCCGGTGTCATATTCACTAAATTACCTTAAAAACATCTACAATGCATTTCCATCTCTCTTTGACTGGAGCGGTGGGGACAGCCATTACCAGATAATCTTCCATAACAGGATAAGCCATATCAAAATCTACACATTCTGGATAACCAACGTGAAATGCGCCAACACTAATATCAAATTTTTGTGCTTGTAAAGCTCCAAATGCGAAACTGTATTTACCATCATTATCCTTTTCTCCCCAGTAATGTAACATATCGTTTGACGAAAAATTAAATTTGATTCCCATCCTTCTACCTACTGAGATTAAGATTCGGAAATCTAATCCTACCAGTTGACCAGAAAAAATCATCATGTAAGGAGCTACATTAACTGGTAAAACATTGACAGTGATATCGTTCCACCTTTGGGGGTATTTATTCGGAAAAAGGTCTGATCCTAAGTCGATTTCTCTGTTTGTTTCTTTAATTGTTGCAATGATGGTTGTCTTAAGGATTTTTGGACGAAGTTCTCCATTCTTGAAAGGATCATAAGTTCGAATTGTGAGAGTTGTATTGTCAGTATTGGAAAAAATGGCAACGTTTACTATATATTTGGAAAAAAGTACCTTTAAAAGGTAACTTCTAGCCTTTTTTCTGTACACAATGAAAAACTTAGCTCTGGGGTTCCACCCTGGAGTGCGTTCTAGGAATTCCAATCTTTCCTTTGTCTCTCTCGTTAAATCCAGAATGTAAGAGTCGACTTTATTATACGCAGGCCAGTTAATTATTTTGTCTTTTCGACTTATCATTACCAAAGCCACACTTCTAGGTATTAAATGAATGAATTCCTCACAATCCATACAAAAATTCACCTTACTAGGTTCAAGATACTTTTCAAAAGTTAGAAATAAATGTTGTCGATATTGCTCTGACTTTGGGTATTCAATAATCATTTCTCCATTAATTGTCAGGTAGTTTTGTGATACAAGAACGATCATAACTATAGTTGGAAACATTATTTCCACATCTCCCTTTAACACTGTAAATGGTTCCACAAATTTCTACGTTTATCTTTACTTTTTCCAATATATTTATACGGTTTGTGTGGTACCTTCGCATGTTGAAAATTGTTAAAAATTAAAAGAAATCGATATATTGCAATGACTTGTGATTTTGGTTAGATATTTTATATTTTATATTGCATTTGTACAACTGGTTTAAATTGGATTATTACTCTTTTGTGTGCAGAACATCGGAACCAGAAAGCACTTTTTAATGTTAATTTAATGGTGCATATTTGATGTTTATCGGTAAATGCTAGACAATCAATTCGTCACATTATATACAGAAATTCAATTTTCCTTGATCAGGAAGCTTTTCAAATACTCGAAATAAATGTTTCTGATACGACTTTGACTTCGGATAGTTAAAAATTGAAAAATGAGGAGGTATTTCTTTTTATATAAAGAATAAATTAAGATCGGTCCAACAAACGCAAAAAAATATGTAATTCTATGTTGCAATGCAAAATGTTCTGATACATAATACAAAAAAACTTTTAATGAGAACGTTTGATACATTAGTATGGTTTGGGTTTATTTCACGTATGTATTCAGTAGTAGCGTATACCAACTAGATGGCGCTACATTGCCTGTAAATTGCAACTTTGAACAATTTTCTTTTAATTTCCACATTAAACTCCTATGTTATTTAATATTGTCTTTAAAGTTTAAAAACTGCTACTCTCTGCTATATCTATTGCAAAAGAAATTTTCGTAGTAAAAATGTTTGTAACTGTAAATAAAATGTTTTTTTGCTTCCTTATAAAGGACTCCATACTGTGCACGCAGTTTGTAACACTTAAAATGTTTTTATCACTTGTCCTTTTCTATATTATTTATAATATTTTCATACAATAAATTGCAATTAAGTAGAGTACCATAATAAAAGGGATGATAATTATAGAAACTAATACATTCAATCAGTACGTCCTTAATTTATTTATACTAAACTTCGTGTGCACTTTTATAAATAGAGTATAAACAATTACTTTTTAAATAGGGTATGAACAATTACTTTCTGTACTGATTAAAGCCTTTTTAATATGTCTTTTATCAAAAAATATTTATCCATTAAATTTAAATAAATGTGGTACATGGTACAATATAGGCAGCACATCATGCAGATCTAATGTTACCTGTGTCGTAACAAGTAGGGGATTTTTCAATCTTTTTGATTTATTATTTTTTTCTTTTAATTGAATGTTATTGTTCAAAATGAGACAACAATTCTTAAATATTATGTTTATTTACAAATGCTTTTGTTCCTTACTAAATCTAAATAAGTACATTATTAGATATAAAGGACAAGTAGGTAAAGATAATACAACATTTTATTACAAACTATTCATTATATAATTAAATATCAAAATGCATAGTACAGAACATTTAAGGAANTAATATCTTCATTTAATAATACTATAAAAGTTAGAGAAGACTTACTCCTTGCTACAGTTCTAATAGCATGAACCAAATTTAAAATTTGGGCTTTAACACTAGGTTGCTCCCCAAATCCTTGTACAGAGGGACTTTTTGCACTCCAACCAACTGGAAAAGAAAAACAAATTGAAAATTTAAAACGATCAGACGCTATTTCTTCAAATATTAATTTGATGATGTGGCTCCATGTATTTTTCTTACTTTTAGCTAAAAACCTTTCTTCGTGTAAAACACAAACGGCATTTAGTGTTAATATTGTTGCTTCAAATAAATTCCATAATGTAAAGCCCATTTTTTGGAAAATTTAAGTTTCAAATAAACATCAAAACCTAAGCAACTCTAACATAACCTACAATCATATTTTGATACAATCATTTTATTTTTCTTGCCTTGATTGCTGGCAACCAAATTCACTGGATTTATTTAGCCTGTCGTGATTACTGCAGCCATTTTAAAAGTAATATAAGGTACAAATAATGTTTTAATTGAATTGTCCCTAAAAATTCCATCAATATGTCTCAGTCATGTTTAGGTAAACAAACAAGGTCATATCTTTCTTATTCTGTTTTAAAATTAAAATCTACCTGCACCATTAGATTCTGCATACATTTTTACATAAGTTTCACCTTTTAAAAGTAACATAATCGTCCTTTAATAGGTTCAAAATTTACGAGTGCCATTTTGAGTCATCTTTTATAACAAACAAGGACCTACCTTCTTTGTTCCATTTTAAAATTGAAATCTACCTTTGCCATTAGATTCTGCATAGATTTTTACATGGGTTTCGTCTTTTAAAATAACATAATCGTTCTTTAATAGGTTCAAAATTTACGAGCGCCATTTTGAGTCATTCGTTATATAATTTTCTTCTAATAATGGCTGTATTTTTTTATTTTATTTTAAACGCATAATCTATCTTGACTACAAAATTTATCATACCTTTTTACGCATTTTAAAATTACTTTAGTTGTATAATACATTTTCTAAATAAACTAAAATCTACGCTTTTAGCGCTTTTTTATGTTTACAGTGTTTNCTCATTTTTTTTTTACAGATATAATCAGTATACTAAATAGTTAAAACTGGTGCAGTTTTTCGCAATTACATGTTTTACATTTTAATTAATTTAATTTCATTTTATTACATTCTTTTTAATTTCCATTTAAGCTTTAGTACAATTTTCTGTACAATTTTAACAAATTTTGCAATTCTTTAAATTTTATGATCCATTTTTTAGTAGTCCAAGAGTTACTATTTTTACTATTATTTGTTATTAACGTATAATGCTTTAATTCCAATTTGAAATTTACCTACCACCATAGTATCCTAAAAATCACTTTACCCATTTTTGCTTTATTGTTTATTTAACAAATAGCAGGAAATAATAGTATACGTTTATGGGATGTTACTACAATTCCGGTCGTTTGTCTACAGCTTAACTATTTAAAGTGTCAAGAATTAATAAAATAATAAAATAACAACAGGAAGAAATTATATACGAAACTTGTAATTTATTTAATTGTTTTTTAGATGGTTTGATGATTATATTTACAAGTTATATGTCATAAATAGCTACCTGTTAAAGATACAATTGTTAATAATAGCTTGTTAATTAATTTTTAGTATGCTGTACGATGTATAAATTGTTTAGGCTTCATCGAACGTTATGACAAGAAATATATACTGTTTGTAATTAAAATAAAAGCAAATAAAAAGTCTAAAATTTAACGCTGTAAAGTGAAATTGAAGTACTTTAATTGTTATGCAGAAATTAATTAATTATAAAATTAATAAACTAAAATTATTCTATCAATAANGTATTTTTATATTTTATATTTCATATTATAAATTTTGACTTTTGCTTTTGGCCAGATTTACATGAAACTTGATATTTAGGCATAAAATCAAACATCTCTTTCAGCATTTTAAAAAATTCGACCTCTAAAAGGGGGTGAAAAGGGGTTGTATATCGTTTATATCCTAGATATTGTATTTATAGTCAGATTTACTTGAGACTTGGCTTTAATACTCTTTCATATAAAATTACTGATATACATATCAACATTTTAAAAAATTCAATCTCTGCAGAAAACTGAAAGAGGTTTGCAAAGATTGCGTGGATTATTTTTGTTTTTGATCAGATTTACTCGAAATTTAGTTAAAAAATTCAATCTCTTTGGGGGGAGAGTGAAAAGGAGTTGCAATGTTTGAATGGAACATATTATATATATTATTTGTAGTCAGATTTACTTAAAACTTGGTCTTAATGCTCTTTGATTTAATTTGTGAAACACCTATCTCAACATTTTAAAAAATTCAAGCTCCAGAGGAGGGAAGTAAAAGGGGGTTGCAATTTTTGTTTTGGACATATTTTATTTGGGGTTGAATTTACTAGAAACTTGGTATTTATGTTCTTTAATATAAATGAAAAGATGTTGCAACGTTTCCATGGGGTGTATTTTATTTATCGACGGATTTACTCAAAAGTTGTTCTTAATACTCATTGTTGAAATTACGCAAACACGTGTTTTGGTAATTTTTAAAAATCAACCCTTTAGGATGAAATCTTGGTACGTATGTGTTTGAAATCTAAGATGGCAACATTTCATAAAATTAAAACTTTGCAAACAAAATTAATTTCTTCTTGCGAAGCCGCGGGGGAAAGCTAGTAGTTAATAAATAAATTATTGATTATAGGATTAGTTTAAATAGAGTTGGTTATGAGTAATAAAAAATATAACTATTTGCTGATTTATGATTTTACCAGCGGCTTCGCTTGCGTTGATGTTCTAAATGCAAACTAAAAGTCATCAATGACCACTAATTTTTCTATCCCTCGGGAACAGTATTTCTTTTCTCGATGAAATATACCTTAGGTCCTTTTCGTTTCCCTTGACAATGTGGGTACAATATTTCGACCACAATATTCTCAATCCAATACGTTTCATAGTAATTGAAACTGTTTCAGAATACAAATTGATTAATAACATTTACATTAATGCTTTTCTACACCGAACTTTTACTGTTTTAAAATGAGACATGAAATACATAAAATATTAATTGATTAAAGGTGTGGCCCATAATAATCTTAAAACCAAATTTTCCAATCACTTAATGCATGATCAAAAAAGGATTACAAGTCAGTTGAATATTGTATAACGGATATACCTATTTGTGAAAGCTGATTTCTTTTAAAATATAGATGCAATCCTTGTTTGTTGGTTAGTAAATTGTTCAGAAGGATTGATTGACGAAATCGATTAAATCTCGCAGCTTTGGCAAACGTTTCGGAGTGGAAAATTTCCCATCGATACAAAAAAAAATCACATTCCTTATTATGTATCAAGTTTCGGCCACAGTCTCGATAAACCTTAGGTGAAATCGAACAGGTGACCACTAGTGGCAACAATTGTCCGTTTCGTGTATACATGGAAGCGGCAACTTTCTTATTTTTGCATTTTACAACAAAACAGAACCCGATGATGCAAGTCCCCTCATCATCTTCTATCACATGCACGGAAATCATACGAACGGGCTTCTCTGACCCACTTTTGTCCTTTCTCTTCTTTTTCGTATTATACATGCACGATGATGATGACCAGTACGTTACATCCAATTTAAAGCCTTGCCGGAGGGCAAAGTAAAAGCACCACGGCCCGACAGGTGAGAGGAATTCGGTATGGATTTGTTGCGCAACGAAATGGATTTCTCGCCCTCTAGCCTAGCTGACTGGCCAAATGGTCACCGTTTTCCTTTTCGCTAATTAATTTACTAATTATCTTTACTCGTGGAGCCGCGCATCTATCTACGTATGAAGACGTTCAGTTCAACTGTCCTGAACAATTTCTACACACATAAGTGAAACTAATTAAATATAACGCTCAATTAAGTACCATTAGCTAACCTTTGTGGTAACGGCTTTTGGTACGTATAATAGTGGGTAATCGTGAAGTTCTCAGTCGTGTAACAATGGGAAAATTTTCATTGCATGCTCATTTTTTTTTTACAGATATAATCAGTATACTGATTTCTATCCTAACGAATCCATGAAGGATAAAATAGAATCCTTTCAGTTGAGAATAAAAGACGTGGTACGGTGACAAATGTATTTTTTATAAAAACTTAACCTAATAGCTTTATACAACATGAAAATAACATGGTAGATGGTAAACGTGAGCGATGGTATTGCATCATGGACCCGTGTGATTGTGACAGCAGCACTTGTTTTCAGTTCATCAAGCCTCAAGGCTTAGTAAGGGGCTCCGTACGAGCCTGATGGTATCCTTGGAGCTCCGTAGCTTCCGCTAGGCGCTGAGGCGTATGAAGTTTGTTCGTATTGAGCCACTTGGATGGCCTGCTTGATGCCTTCGAGATCAAGACCGACAACGCGAGCAGAATAACCAGGAACTCCGTAAGAGGAGGATGGAGCTCCGTATGAAGACGAGGGAGCTCCGTATGACGAGGAAGGAGCGCTATAACCGCCCCCACCTCCCAAGGAAGATGAAGATTGTTCTTCTTTCAATAGAATTTGGCGGACCTGTTCCAAAAGGGCAGAATCAACTTGGGCACCTTCGGAAGTTTGGTAACCCGACGAGACCGCTTGGTATCCGCCTCCGCCTCCCAGGAGACCGCCACCTCCGGAATATCCGCCGCCTCCTGAGTAACCGCCACCGCCAGAGTATCCACCACCGCCAGAGTATCCGCCGCCACCTCCGCTGGGTCTGCTGTAGGAATATCCAGAGGGTGGTTCGGCTACTACGGCCATGGCCATGGCGAAGGCCATACACTAAAAACAATAAAAAAACATTTAAATAAATAAGAACGTCAACATTCAGCAGAAAAACCAATTGGTAACCCGATTTAAAGCAAAGACCAGAAGGGGGACCATTAGTTGGTTCTAACTATCAAGAGATAACAAGAACTCATCGAGAGCTTGCTCTTTTCAGTGTATCTTGTAATTGGAATCGGGATCATTTATTGGTACTAGCCGTCAAAATGGAACAAAAAGAAGTTTTAATTGAACTGTTTGAATAACTGAATGTGTGAATGGTACCACTGAATATCAGCCCCAGTACCCTAGACAAAGGCAAATTACTAATTGAAAGACACGTTTGCTTTTTATTAAATTATGTTATTTTACTTCCAAAAATATTAACACGTTAAAAACAATTATTTTTCCACCAAAAACGATAATTGGCACGTCGTCACTAAATTTTGTACAATCCACTAGATGTTTTTCACAAATATTTCAAGCCGCGGGAAAAACTTTCGGCACCACGACGAATTTATCGCACAAGAAATTACAATTAGGAGAAGAAGTAGAAGAACCTTACCACGGTGTATGTGTTCATGATGCTTGATGTAATGACAAGTGGTGACTGTACCGGGTTGAGGTGTTACGGCTTTTTTTATATCAGGCAAATGGCTGAGGGTGGGAAGACACATTGGTAAAGTCCATCAGCGTGGCCTACTGGATTTTACTTTCACGTACTCTGATGCATCTTCTTTCTCTGCGATTTCGTCGTATACATACATCGACATCAGTGTGTAACGTACATTCTCAATACGTACACAAGCATACAACAGTAGTAGATGTTACCAAAACGAAGCGGAAGTTGATGGTCTCATTATCGCAGTTTTTTTAACAGTAACGTTTCATGTATTTGTACACTAAAGTAAACTTTTATTTCAAGTGGATTCTTTGCAAACACTGCCTGAAGAACGAACGCAGATTTTAAAAGCTTGGAGCTTTGATAAACCAATAAATTTAAAGGTAATAAATTAACTTCGCTTATGGATTTTATAAAATTAATATGTAAAATTTTTACTCTATTTTTTACAACTATATTACAACGATATAAGATATATTATTCCCACTTAATTAAACACTTTAAGAAACTCAATAGTGATTATTATTAAATATTAATGTGAAGATAATAGGTATGTTTCGTCGTTGTTGCTACTGTAACCTCTCGTAGCTTAGTGGTCAGAACATTAGTGCGTAAAGTCATACATCCGGGGTTCGATTCCCGGCGTGGACGTAACAGCAGGAACGTCTTTTTCTGGTTAATTTAAAGAGGGTTATTTATTAAAATGTTCTAAATATTCAGAAACAAAATTCATAATTGTAGATATTCAGAAATTAGTAAAGCATATTCTTACTAAATAAATAATACAATCTATTTTCTCTACTTTCTCAAACATAAGAGAAGCTTCCGTGCTTTAATAAACAACACGATGTTGTTTTACTCTGCATGCAAATTAAACATTAACAAAAATGAGAAAAATGTAACAATTGTGCTCTTAGTTCTTGATCCATTGTTATTTCTTAAAAAATTGCTTGACACATGACATGCATTTTCTATTGTTTTTTTTTGTTTGCGCTCACAAAATATATATGTATAATATAATGGGTCATACAGTTAAGTAACGTCTTGCGACTCTAATTTCGTTCAACACATCGTCTTAGGATTTCATGAATTCATGAGTGTGTAAGGAATTATAAATACTGAACTAGTTAGGATATTTTAAAAAACACGCGACTTGAACTTTAAATAATTTTTCAGTTCTTCCGTAATGCACAAGAGTTGTACCAAATGACAAAAATTATTTAAATTATATTTTAAAAATTACAGTAATGTAGATGTGGCATAAGGTAGAAGCAGTTGTTGAATAATGAATAATGTTTGTAATTTTATTTGACTTTGAATACATTTTTGTTATAAGTTCTTTAAGATGGATGTAATTATTTTCTGAAAGCACAAGGACCTTCAAAGAAGTGCTCCTGGTAATTTTTGCAATAAGTTCAAACAAACAAAAAAACTTAACAAGAATTATAATCATCTTTAAATTACTGAATAAAGAAAGAACGTGAAGGTTTTCGTAAGAGTTTTGTTACAAGTACTTTGATAATAGGTAGGTTTTTTTGAACAGGTCTTTCTACAATTAATATTTCAAATTAAATAAAAGATACTTTTGTTAAACAAGGACAGGCGTAATTAAATTTGAAGCAACTTCTTAATTTGCCAGGATGTTTTTCGTTTTTATGATACAGTTAATTTTATCATAATAATTCGAGACCTTTTAACAAATTTTATCTGTAAAAGTACAATCCGATAATAACCATAGTAACGACTGTGCGAGGAAGCCGTAGACGGTCTCTTTGTATTTCTCTTTCAACCTGAAAGTTGAGATGTTCGAGTAATAAATAAGTTCACCAACACAGGCACACATAACTCTCACATGTGTGTGTACGTTGCCATAGTAATAACCAGGTCAGACAAAATCATAACACAACTTTTGTTGCAACGTCGTCTTCTAGGCTTTTTTCCTTTTTCACGTACTTAGTACCTACACGCACATTTCTACACTTAAAGTACATTAAGAAAAAAAGGAGAAGTGTCTAATTTATTAACACCGTTGTGCAAGAAATATAAGTTTCCATTTATATTTTGCCTCTCTTTCTTTTTCCTAGTCTCTGGTGTCTCTTTCATATTCCCTTTTCTTCAATTGAAAGTGATTCAGTGTTGTTAAATTAATAAATTGAGAAACCATTTGACCTTGAAAGAAAAAGTTGAAAGTAGCTGCTAATGTTTTTGTTTGAATGGTTATTAATATGAGCCGCACAATAAACAGCTATTGCGTTAAGATTGATAATACTTATCGACTAATAAAGTCGCTCGGTTCTCTAAAAACGTAATTATATACATTACAATAAAAATTTCACTTTCGTTGGTCCTAAAAGGCGTTGGCTTTGCTTCAGGGCATGCTACAATGTTAAGCGTTTAATTGCCCACTAATTAATTTAAAAAGCATTTATAAATTAATGTTCTGAACAGTATCTCATTAAACATTTATGTGTATGATAACTACCTGATGCTTCTATAAGTTCTTCTGTTTAGTAGTTGTAAATACTTTTCGAGATTGACATTACTTAATTTGTATTTAACACTCGTATTATTTAACATTTTAAATCTGGTTCTTCCTTGATGTTATCAAGATTGAAAATCCGATGTCTCTTTTTCTTGGCACCAAAATAAAGTTGGTAATAGGATGTGATCATGCATGTAATCATTTGTTGATCGTACGAAGATTTAACAAGTAAAACAAGAAAAATTGACATAACACTGAAGATGTTACCATTTGCTAGCTAAATTTTCCGACGGTAATTGCTGAGTACACTAAATGTATATAGATACGTAAATATTTTGTTTTAATAGTACTTAAACACATATTTGGGTTAATATCCAATTTATAAATTAATTAAATGTGTAAGTATACTTATGTAACATTTAATGCAATGTTTAGAGAATTATTAACATCACATCCAACCAACTGTATATATGTTTTGAAGCACAAGTTGAAAATAACAAGGTGTTTGAATGCTACTAAGAAAAACCACACAAGAATACCCTAATTTAGCATTTCTTCAGTCTAATGTTGTTTTGTTAGGCAATCAGTGAAACGCCTGTAATACTTTTTAAACACGTGTTTAGATACATTTTTTTACAAACTTATTAATGCTAGTTTATTTAAATCAAAATTGGTCCTGCGCTATTCTTTATTTTATGTCTCCAGCAAAGAATACTGCAGGGTCAAGTTTTTCAGTGTCAAGTGTTAAAAGTATTGTTTGTATTACATTATTATTATTTTAACATTATTTTTCAGTTTAGAGAGACCACACTGAACTTAAACCATCTTCTTTTCGTATAGGTTCTTCTTTCATAACTTAAGGGTCTATGTATTTGCTGTTTAGTTTGTTTTTTTTTCAACCTTCGTTCTTGCATAATAGCCCAACGAGAGGCCGTAACCTCGTAAAGATAATTTGCAATTATTTTCTTAAAATATTAGAACCATTTTCATTAATTGGTCGCTAAACTGGTGACATACTTTTCTACACCTGTCGTTATTATATTAATCTCGATGTTAAATACAGGCAATGGATTCCCAAAACCACTATTATATCTTGTTCCGTCCGTAGGATTTTGTTTACATAACTGTTTTACCACAAGCGGTAGTTATATTTGCATTTTGTAAACATGAAACTAAAGTTAGAGATATACAACTGGGTTTCTAGAAGCCTATTTACTGGCTAGTTTGTTTAAAATGTTTACAATTGCAGGTGTTTTAACCACTGTAGCTTTCAATGTCGATTTTATCCTAACAAAAGTTGCTATATCCGTTAATGATTTGGTGTTGGAGTATCTTTTGTTTGAAACAAATTTTGATATAGGCCCTCGTTTCGACGTTAGAACGGAAAAACCTCGAAGACTTCAACGGTAGATCAAGCGACGAACCCGAATTTTAATTATTTCTTTTTAAATTAATTGAACTACCACTACAGTAAATGGCTTGGACGTTTGTAAAATATTCTGTCAACCACGTTTTCTCAAGAAAATAGAACCATTTTGGTGCATGGCGCTAATTTTATTTTGTTGTATAAAGAAATTGTCTTTACTTATTTATTATTAGAAATTTTTATTTCCTAGATGATTTCGTGTTTTCATTAGCATATTTATCATTATCTTAAGAGTTGTACAACATTTCACTAATATCATAACGGTTTAATAGCTTTAATAAAAGTTGTCTAGACGCAGTCTTGAAACAGCAAGCATTTAAATAACGATAGAGCTTTAAAACACTACTCTATGGTAACAGAAACTGTTTGACACGTTAGACCTTTAGTGGTAACGTATCTTTTGTCTGACAAAATTTTTGATATAAACCCTCATTTCGAAGCTAAAACGGAAAAACCTCTAGGAGACTTCAACGGTAGATCAAGCGACGAACCCAAATTTTAATTATTTTCTTTTAAATTAATTGAATTACCACTACAGTAAATGACTTGGACATTTGTAAAATATTTTGTCAACCACGTTTTCTCAAGAAAATAGAACCATTTTGGTGCATGGCGCTAATTTTATTTTGTTGTATAAAGAAATTGTCTTTACTTATTTATTATTAGAAATTTTTATTTCCTAGATGATTTCGTGTTTTCATTAGCATATTTATCATTATCTTAAGAGTTATATAACATTTCACTAATATCATAACGGTTCAATAGCTTTATAAAGGTGTCCAGGCGCAGCCTTGAAATGGCAAGCATTTAAATAACAATAGAGCTTTAAAGAACTACTCTATGGTAACAGAAATCGTCTCACACGTTAATCCTTTAGTGGAAAAGTACTTTTTGTCTGAAAAAACTGATGTAAATCCTCATTTCGATGCTAGAACGGAAAAACCTCGGAGACTTCAACGGTAGGTCAAGCGACGAACCCGAATTATCATTTTCAATTATTGAGTTTAAGCGAGATGTTTCAATTGTAACTTATGCAAATTGCTTTAACATTGTCAGAAATTGTATCGGTCAAGTATTCTATAATAAATGTAACTATTTTAGTACTAATATTAATTTTGTTATATAAGA